TTTACTGCCATTTCTTAAAAATAAAACAATATGTATTTGTTATGAGAATAACTGAATTCTTCTAAAATTGCGGATTTGCTTAAAGCAGTTTTTACAATGTCACAAAATTGATAATAAATAACTATCTGTTTAATATTGTAAAAAAAACTTATTAAGATTTTAGTTAATAAACTTCATTTTTAATGCTGCCTATCTAATTTGTTTTTATATAATATAGTTATCATTTTAAAAGTTTTATATAATTTCGCTTCATTTGAGACCCAACATGATACACTTTGAAAGATTTTTTTTTGATAATTTTAGGAACTTGTTATGTTCAAAGGTCTTGGGGGGACCCCTAAAAATATTTTTATTTCAAAAATTTTTTAAAGCCAGAGTTTTTTTATCATATAGAACACATTAAGGGGTGGTAGCATATATATATATATATATATATATATATATATATATATATATATATATATATATATATATATATATGTTAAAATAAAATATTAAAATTGCTCCGTTTTGAAAAAGAAAAAAAAAAAAAGCTCTATACTTTTCATGACTAAATGTATGTTTGAAATATTTTTATTTGTGAGTGTTATTGAATAATTTTTGTTTTGTTTATTATTATCATTATTATTTGTATTATAAATCCTATTTCATGGTATTTACTTAAGATTACTTTGATCGAAAATATGATATATATAGAAAGGTGTAAAAATCTACATCATAGAATAATGAAAAATTTAGATATATAGTGTAATAAATACATTATAGAGTAATAGAAAATGTCAATTAGAGCTGGAGCTATAATGTGTAATTATAAACCTGTTTTTTAAGATCAGGCTTTTCCCACATAATGTGTAACGCTTCTTTAATTTTGAAGTTTGGGCATAGTTTAATACTGAAAAATACTTTTTATTGGCTACATTAAAGCAACTAGTTTTTAAATAAATATGTTGGTTTATGAGAAGTTTTTTGTAATTTTAAATGTTTCTCAAGTTGCTACATGTATATATGACTTGGGTATAATATTCTATTGGGATATTCCTTGTCTGGCATTTATACTTGTCTATACACTTTTCTATAACAATAGTTGTGTATGGTGTTACGCATAGAGATGCATTGATAAACAACAGCAATGCATTAGCATAGGAAAACTGACTACTCACTGTTGCACTGGATTTTTATAGACCATGCATAGTGCATAGTTTCTCCAGCATAGAGTGTCTTCTTGGCTGTGAGTATAAGGTCTTAATTACGAACATTACACTGTTTACCCAAACCATGATCAACCCTAAACTCATGTCCCCAGAAAACCCTTTTGGGGGATGATAGCCCATATATAGTAGAACATTTAGAAATAAATTTGAAGAGAAAGATATTTTGATTTTAAATTTTGAAGTTAATAGGCCTAAAAAATTGCAAAATGACAGGGGATTTTGCATTTTTACAGAACTTATTACTCAACTTGGTTATGGGGAAAACATCTAGAAGTGATTTTAAGTGAAAATATTAGTGTTTCTGAAAATTATTCTGGTTGTTTTTATCATTCCCAAAACGAATACCTTAAAATAATGTCTTTTTGTGTGTGGCGTTTTTTTCACAAAATTTCTGGGAAAAAGCATGCATTTTTAAAAATAAACAATTTTAAAAACACACTAGAACATATGTTGCAAAAATGCCTAACAAAGCCAAAGACCACGAAGAGAAAAGAAAAGCTGTTTTTTTTTTGTGCATTCAGAAGGGAAATCATGAGCTAACATGAAGAATCGTGAGCTAACAACTTTTCTGAGAAATCACATAATCTTTTTAACTGGATTTTTCTGATAACAGGATTCTTTCAGGTATTTGTGAAAGATGTTGTGTTGCCATCAGAAGAAAAGATGAGGGTGAAAATTCTCCTCTTCCTAGCCTTTATAATTTAAAGAGCATCTCAGTTCGACCTGCTACCAGAGAATCTTCTTGTGATTGTTTGATCTGTCAAATTGAAAGAAATAAGCTTAACATTTTCATCCACTGTCAGTAAGTAAACCTAAGAGCGAAGGAAGAATTGAAAAAAGATGTTCAGACTGTTTTTCTGTGATTGGGTGAGGGCTGCCACAATTGTACAAGAGGAATAATGCGACATAATTTGGTTGCAGTTTTCTCAAAAGATGCAGTGGCTGCAGAGATGGTTGCAACTATGGTCATCTCAAACAAATCTCCTTCTCCTCATGGCACTGTCCATCTTAGTCAAGCAAAGGTAGGCAACAGTTTTCCAATTGTTCCAGGTATGATACAGTTTTAAACTATTTTAAGCATTAATCCCCTGCGTCTAATAGCATAGTCTTTTTAAGGGCCATCCAGGGCAAGAGAACTCTTTCCTGAGGAAAAAAAGCTAACAGCTGTAGATATGCTCAAGGTTTAAAATGAAATAGGACTTTCTAATTGTGGCATGAAAAACTTGCATCATCACTAAATCAAGCCACTCCTCATCAGATTGTTGAGAAAAAATTTCATGACAAGTTTGAGTCACTTGGAAGGACTCTTGCAGAACAGTTCACATCAAACCACATTCAAGACTCAACAAAAAAAGATTTAACCAGAGTTGTTGTTCACTGCAAAGATGTGTCTGATATAGTCAACTATGTTTCAAAAGTCAGAAATATTCCTGGAGAACCATTGGTCAAAATGGGAATTGATGGTGGAGGTGGCTTTTTAAAAGTATCCTTGGAGTTATTGAACCAAACAGAGAGGATTCTTCTCCTCCCTCAAAGCGTGTTGTAAAAGACACCAGTGTGAAGCTATAGTTATTAATTGCTGTTTCTGAAAACCTACCAGAGAGTTATGAAAACTTGAAAAGCGTTTTGAATTTGCTCCAGTAGCAGAAAATTTTTTGTTGTTGTTTCATGTGATATGAAAGTAGCGAATCTCATAACTGGACTTCAGTCTTATGCCAGTGCTCACCCTTTTACATGGTGTGATGCAGGTTCAAAAAATCTTCACATCTGCAGGAAACCCAGAACATTTGGTTTCATTCAAGCTGACTTTGATGCATTTCAAAAGAGTGGGTCAATTTTAAGAAGAGCAAAAGAGTTCAACAATGTTGTTCACAAACCAGTTGTTTGCTTAGACAATCAAACACTCTTATTGGACTTTATCCCTCCAATGGAACTATATCTTCTTCTTGGAGTAGTAAATCATCTCTACAAAAGCTTGTGTCAAACATGGCCTGATGCCAATCAATGGCCTGCTGCTCTTCATATTCGGGAACAGCCTTTTCATGAAGGCCAATTTGCTGGAAATGGTTGTCAAAAGCTATTGAAGCATACAGATGTTCTACAAAATCTGGCTGAACAAAGCTCTTCATTCAATGTCATGCCTTTTGTTGAAACTTTTAGATGTTTTGAAAGGGTTGTGAATTCTTGCTTTGGAAATAATCTTTCTCCCAACTTTGCAGACAAGATCAAGGAGTTCCAGAGTTCCTTCTTGAAGTTGCCAAACACCTCCATCACTCCAAAGGTGCATGCAGTATTTTTCATGTGAAGCATTTTATTGACCGCCAAAAGTCAAACCTTAGAGTATTTTATGAACCACAGAATCTTTGCATCACAACTTCAATGTACATTGGCAACAATACAAATGTGATCCCAGTCATCCAGAATATGAAAAGAAGCTTCTGAATTGTGTTGTAGACCTCAACAGCAAGCATTCATTTTAGTTGAAAGGGTCTTTTTCAAACCAAAATTAAGAATGTTGTAATCTTAAAGAATTATTTCCCGATGTGATATTTTTATTCAGAAATGTTGTTTTATATACATAAGAATGTTTCTTTTGTTGTCACAAGTATGAAATGACTTTTAAAAAAGTTTAATAAATGCTGTAAAAATGCAAAATCCCCTGTCATTTTGCAATTTTTTAAGCCTACCCAGTTAACATAAAACATTCAAATACATTTGACAAACTTTGCAAATGTTCAAGCACGTTCTTGAACGTTCGCAACGTTCGTTGAACGTTTTGTGTTAGCTGGGTATTAGCTTCAAAATTTAAAATCAAAATATCTTTCTTGGGCGTAATAGTTTGATTTCCAAATTTATATCTAAATTACTATAAATGGGTTATCATCCCCCAAAAAGGTTTTCTGGGTACACGAGTTTAGGGTTGATCATGGTTTGGGTACACAGTGATTAGTATTAGTTTGTGTTCTACTAATCACCATGATTTTTTTAAGTTTGTTGTTTCACATTTTGACCTAAAAACTTTGTTAATTCTTTTTTAGTCCTAATATCACAAAAAATTTTTGTGAAAAGCATTCTGGGTAAATGTGTATACAAACATAAATCTTTAATAATTTTACATATGAAAATTAATCTTTGAGTGATAATTGTACATATGAACATTAATTTGCAATATATGTCAATTCATATTTGTATTTACATTTTGCTGCCAAGTTTTAAATTAAAACCATAAATAGTTATGATAAATTAAACATTTTTCAGTTTTCTCATAATTGGTTATAGAATCAAGTACAGTCATTAAAAATAACGAACCATCAATGATAATTCCTTTGTAATTTTAATTGTAGAGGGCTCTGATTTTATATTTTTAATATTTACTTTGTTTTATTTATTGAGGTTACTTATTTATTTAATAATATTTAATATATTTTAAATATTTAAGCCAAACAGAGTATTAGCATGACTAATTGACAATTTCAGTGAAACATTAAAGCAAATCTTATAAAATAAAATAAATAATAATTCTTTTCTACGTTTTTTTGATTGTGTCAGTTTGTAGAGTTATACTGAGGCTCATTTAGAAATTCTAAATAAACAATACTATAAAAATAACTAAAAATGTAAATTCTTTTGCATTATTAGTCGTCTATAATAATTATGTTTGTGTGCATTTACACACTAAAAGAGCTGAAAATGTTAAACCATATAGAAAATTAGGATGTCTATTTTAAGTTTAAACAAAATAAACACAAATCATAAATAAAAAGTTAAATAAATTTATTAGCTCCTTACCTGGTATCTACCTGATGCAATTATAAGTTGGATGCATGAACTGCAATTGCCTTAAAACCTTCTTTAAAAAGTTTTTTTTTTTGGACATAAATTTTATAAATTCATTAGATCATGAGACACAACAAAAACTAAAAATAAACTTGAAAAAATTATTTACACTGTATAAACCAAATATGAACTTAAAACTAGTCTGTAACAGATTTTCAAAATTTGCTACAAAATGCACGGAATGTATATTCAGCCTAAAGTTTCTGTAAAGCCATCACTTAAGTCTTTAACAGTTAAAAAAAATTACAATTTATATAAATTATTTGCAGCAATTTGAGAAAACAAGATTGTTACCTCGCTATGTCAAGTTACTGACAATTGAATTGTTTGAACAGTCAAACTACTGACTTTTTTTTATTTGACAAAACATGTTACATAGTATGATAAAAGTAATAATTTTTAACTGTGCGCAGTTTTTTAACCACTAGTGATTGAGTTCTTGACACAAATCGCTTAATAAGACTGTTTTTTAAACAACAGCTAACATATTTAAAATACGACAAACATAAATGATTTATGTTTATAACAACTAGAACAATATATACTGTTCACGCATTTGTTAGATTATTTGTAAACTTATTTTTGTGTAGATTTTTATTTAAATAGTTGTTTGGAGAAAACTTCAGAAAACAGAAACATTTCAGAGCTAACTAATTACACCTTGTCTATAATTGTGTAGCAATATTGTGAAGAACTAAAAACATTTGGTCTTAAAACTCTTTTTTATGTATTTTTATATTTTAATAACTATTATTCTACGTTTAAAGGTAAATGCTCCTGCACTTTCACAGTTAAGCAATCCTAAATACACTCCATGGATGCGTCTAGCTGAAAAATTGGGTAGTCTTATTTCAAACATTAAGGGTTCTACAAATATAAATTTCTCTGTAAATGGAGAGTTTTTGGCGCCAGCATCAAGGTTGTTACTCAATGCTTTCTGCTATGGCTTTTCAAAAATTCATTCATTGTCTGGAAATCTTATTAATGCAGTTATTATTTTAAAAGATCTTGGTATAAACGTAAGTTTTTTTGTTGTTTTTTCTTTAAATAAAAAAAAAAAGAAAACTACCATTTTAAAAGATTTAAAATGGTAGTTTTAAATCTATAAAAATTTCACATCTCACAAAGAAATTATTCACTTCAAATTATTAACTAGATCATTTTTTCTTATCTTGTAAAATATTTGCAAGTTCATTAGCTGTAACTTAGTGTAATATAAATGTATTTTTGTTTTCTCACCTTCTCATCCTCTGAAATTAAGTTTTAGAAGGATTCCACTTTTATTCAAGACTCTGAAACCGTAGTACTAATATATTATTTATATTCATTATGTATAATTTTGAGACATTCGTATAAATGTATTATTTAATGAAACTAATTAAAACTTAACCGTTTAAAGGATTTTCTTTTTTCTTATTTTATTAAAATAATAAATTGTCTAATAAACATGTTTTTCAATAAATACAAATATAAAGTATTAAAAAATTCAAACAAGAAAAAAGTATTAAAATTATAATAAATAATAAACTTTTAATTATTTTTGCCATGTTTTAATATTAAAATAACCGTTTTTATTCATGGGTTTATATTGAAAATAATCCAAAGTTATTGTTTTCTATTTTGAACTTATAAAGTGTGGCAACATTTTTACTGTTTAAATAGTTGAAGTTGCACGTTGTTGATGTCATTGGTTTAAAACCTTCTTGGCATGTCACAGGACACATGTTACATGTAACATGGTGTATATTATTGCTGTGAATACTATAGCTACTATTGTTTTCATTATTAAATTTTTTTACGTCAACTAATAAGCATTATTCTGTTATTTAGTTTTTATGTGGTAATTAAAGCATTTGAAATAGTTTTTACTTTTCTCTAAGACAAAAGATTTTATTTTGTTCTTCTTTTAAAAGTTAATGAGAGGTTTCTAAACTTAACATGGTCGTATTATTTGAATGCCAAATACTTTAATGAAATTTTAAAATCTTTCGTAAAAGTATTTCAAATACTTAAATGAAATTTTAAAATCTTTTGTAAAAGTATTTCAAATAGTTTAATGAAATTTTAAAATCTTTCGTAAAAGTATTTCAAATACTTTAATGAAATTTTAAAATCTTTCGTAAAAGTATTTCAAATAGTTTAATGAAATTTTAAAATCTTTCGTAAAAGTATTTCAAATACTTTAATGAAATTTTAAAATCTTTCGTAAAAGTATTTCAAATACTTTAATGAAATTTTAAAATCTTTCGTAAAAGTATTTCAAATACTTTAATGAAATTTTAAAATCTTTCGTAAAAGTATTTCAAATACTTTAATGAAATTTTAAAATCTTTTGTAAAAGTATTTCAAATAGTTTAATGAAATTTTAAAATCTTTCGTAAAAGTATTTCAAATACTTTAATGAAATTTTAAAATCTTTCGTAAAAGTATTTCAAAAAGTTTAATGAAATTTTAAAATCTTTCGTAAAAGTATTTCAAAAAGTATTTCAAAAAGTATTTCAAAAAGTATTCAAAAATTTTTGATGAACAAACTCTGATTTAAATATTTTTAAATTTAATTAAATTTTCAAAAATCTATTTCTCAAATTATTCTTTTAGATAAAACTTACGGAACTAAAAAACCAAACATGGTCTTCAATTAATGTACTTATACCTGGAGTGGGTGAATTTATTGGTAACCTTAGTGGAGAGCTACCAACTGTTTTACAAATATATGATGTCGCTTTGTGTTCTCCTGTTGTTCTCCATGATTATGTAATTATGGCTCTGTCGACGCATCATTCTTCTCAAAATCTGCTAAATGATGTATTAAATATAAATGGTATTACTAGTGTTAGTACTGGAAAGAATGGAACTAATTCTGTTCTTGTAGCTGCTGTAGAATCTAAAGTGAATGTCGAATTACCTTTAGTTTGTTTGAAAATTTAAAATATTATTTTTTGTGCGACTTTATGTACGTGATTTATATTTTTAATCAATTCGTCATATTGGTTTTTCGCAAACGTTTTATGTTCCTGTAAAATAAAACATTAACGAATACATCTTAAAATATTTATTTATCTTTGTAATTGTTATTAAACAATAATACAAAAATCTTGACATGCACCCTACTAGTGTTTACTTTTTATTTGCTTATATAATATTAGGTGTTTCTTAGTTGTGTTTTTGGTTTAAAATACTTAAACAAGTAATAAAGAATGTTTATAATAATTTTATTTAACAGTATGTTTATAACTTCTTGGCAGCATTTCAAACGAACCACTTCATTTTCGCAGCCGCTTTGACATATTTATGTCCGTCTCTGCAATCCGCTCACGAAGTTCACCAATTTTTTTTGAGAGTCTTAGTATTCAATATTCTTTAAGAAGCCCCAAAACAAAAAATCTGCAGAAGAACAAGCAGGCAATTCTATTGGAACTCGTCAGCTTATACATTTTTGAGGGAAATTTGATTGAGCCAGCTTCTTACTTGGCAGAAATAATGGGCAGATGCTCCATCTTGTTAAAAGTACATTCAACATTGTTTAACTTGAGGCCATAAAACTCTTCAAGTATTTGTAAATATGAATTACCTGCGATTGAAACGTCGAAAAAGTATGGACCAATTAGACCACCTGAAATTATTCCACATCATTGTTCTATTCTTTGAGTTGGGCTTAAGTATTTATATGTGTTGTTTAGAGTTGGTATAATGACAGCAGTTGTGACAGTTTATAATGCCGATTAGCGTGATTTGGCTTTCGCCTCACCAAATCATTTTGTTTAGCCAATTTAGAATTTTCTTCTAACTTTGACAAAATGATATCACAACTCCATTTTTTTAGTCAAAATCAGTTCTTGTACTGTACTTGGTATGAATGATCTGCTTGTGCCCAAATTGCACAATGTATTTTTCGTATTTTTATTTAACGCAAATATTTTCTTTAAGAAAAATTTGAAATTTGACTCGAAGAATATACTAAAGTATTTAACGTATATAATAAAATCAAGATAAGTTACTATAGAATTTATATGAAATGATTTTAAAATTTTTGGAAAAACATTTAAATCTGTAACTAAAGAAATACATTACTATTACAAAACAAGTAATTGAAAGTAAACCGAAAATCGCATTTAAAAAAAATCTATTTTTGAACAAAAACATGAAAAATTTTGTTTTGTTTCTTTTGTTTTTGTTACTTGAATCAAAAACGACATTTTTCAGCGTTAAGAAAGGACCTATTTCATTCGCAACAAACCACAGTAGAATGAACGCAATATAGAATCAACGCAAAATTTCTCATCCAACAAAATGCTAAAACAAAGACAACATAGTTTAAACTGTCGGTCTGTTTATCAAAGAAACCTAACTTCAAGTTTGTCATCCTTCACTGGTTAAAAGAGGAATTTTAAGCATGTTTTTGAATTCAATGTTAGAGTAGTGCGTAGGCTATAGCACACTTGAACCGTACCACTTGAAGTAAAATGCTAATAAGCAACAACAACTACCCGACGGGCATTTGTTTCTAAAAGTTACGTTCTAAATGTGTTTTAAACGTCTTTTAAACGTCTTTTAAACATTAATGTTTAAAAGACGTTTAAAAGACATTTAAAATACATTTAGATCGTAACTTTTAAAAAAAAATGCCCGTCGGGTAATATCATGCATCTTAACTGAAGATGGTCGTTAGAAACTGGAAAGTGTGTCGACTTCTTTTTTTGGCAGTTTAATACCAATGATACGTTTTTAGGTTTTTAAAAGCCTAATAAATTGACTTGTGTCATGCATTCATAAGGTTATCGTTCAACCAACCATCTTTACTTTTGAGGAATACCAAGAAGAATACCCAAAAACAAGAGGTTATATTGCTAAGGAAGGAGGCGTGAATTTCCTGGTTAAATATTTCTCCGCAGTGCTTTGAGATAAGACCGATAAAATCTTCTTGAAGAACTCATTCTTGAGCTATAAAGAATTTGCAAGGATGGTGAAACACTTTTGTTATCCAGAAGATTCTTTTTTTTTTTTCTTTTGTTTATTAGTTATTTAGGTGCTTATTATAGAGCACTGCAGAATAGCATTTAATCTAGAAGTTAACATCTTCTTCCTCACCAAAGATGCATATATGGCCAAACCCGGTTTTAAACCACGGACCTCCAGTTCTGAAGCTAGACTTTAACTCAATCATGAAACGTCGATTTGATACTTGCGTACGTTTATTTTATGTTAATTTCAAGAATCAATAGTTAATGCAAATATACAATAATAAAAAAATATTATTTAAAATTCTCTATACTTTAAAAATTAAAAAAAAAAAAAACCTATTCATATATGAACATATTACAAAATTTATACAAAATTAAAAAATGTAGTACTTTTTCTAGCAACTATACATCGATTTTTAATCACTTTTAGATACAGATATCGGCTTTTCTTAATAGCAAAAATTTAAAACATATTTTTGAATAGATTGAAAAATTTTGAAACTAAAAATAATAAAAGATAAAAGAATTTATCAAAATCGATTTTTTTTTTTAATTTTAGTTGCTTTTTGTTTTTTTCAGACCATAGTGAATTGCCTTTTCTTCCTATAGTCCTATAGGATCCTATAAAAATTTGGAGCAAAGAAAATTAGTTAAAAAAAGTTTATAGTTATCAAAATTTTGACTTTTTTTTTTGTTTCAAAATTCTATAAGACTTTTTAACTAAGGTGGCGGGTTCTATAGGACTCTTTAACTGGCGCCTATTTATAATTTCTAATATTAGGATTAATTTTTCTTTGAAATTAATCTTACTGAAAAAACACGAAATCAAAATTTAAAATACTTATACTTCATAGTGACATCAGTAAAGGTATATTGTTTTTAGAAAATCACTTTTTGGAAAAAGGTTACTCGAGATATGTATATCTGATGCTGAGAAGTCCATTAGATAAAAAAACAACAACAAATAGTCAAATAAATCTATTTAAACCTCCAAATAAACAGCCTCAAACTACAAAAAAGGTCAAGTAAGTAGCCTCAAACTACAAAAATGTTCAAACAAGCAGCCTCAAACTACAAAAATGATCAAATAAGCAGCCTCAAATTATAAAAATCTTCAAATAAACAGCCTTAAACTACAAAAATGTTTAATCACAAGAAGGAATGTTTGTCAAGAAAAACCGCCTAAAGTTTCATTTGGGGAATATTGAGTAAAATAAAAAATCTATTTAATTCTTTAAACTAACAAAAACGCTGAACTGAACTTTCGTACAGCAACTTGTTGATTTTCTGAAACGTAAATGCTACAAAATTATAAATCTCTAATTCTATTGCTGACGACAAGAGCAATATGTCCTAAAGACAAATAAAACAAGGAAACTTTATGCATCCCTTTGTTAACCAAGATGAAAGTTAAGCATTTTCAAAGTAACACAAATGAACCCATTGTGGTCTTGATACTTATTTCGTAATCTTAAAAACATTAGTTTATTTTTTCTTTTAAATAAGATGCTAAAATTTCAGTAGCTAGTTTCCATGAGTTCAGATCTCTTACTAAGTCATTTAGTTCTTTCTATTTAAATGGTTAAGGTTCTGTAAGACTATATTTGTAATCTGGGTCAGAGTCTTCACTTGACTAATTCCGAATTTAAAAGATTTGGATCATTACAGGATTTAGATGACCTGGGTTTTAATTGAGGTTGTTGCGCAAAAGATAAGTTGAGATTAGACAATTTGATTTCCAGGATTTATTTATTTTCACAACGTAGAAGTTACAGTTGTCATGGTTACATGATAGTTTTGAGGTTTTCACCAAAGCATGGGTGTTATGAACTCAATTGCATCCCTTTTTCCACCGGACCATAAACACAGACATACAACATATTTCTGTCTTACAATATGAGAAACCAAGGCTTGTACTGATTAAAACACCGCGTATTATCAAAACTTTAATATAAAATTGTTTCATATAAAATTTTACAAAATCCGATATTTTTCAATATTTCTCGAACATATATTTTCCACAAATATAATAAAAACAATCTGGGTTGAGCACACAACACAACTTCTTGACGAACCTATATCTAAAACAATAAGAACGTATACTTTAGTGTCCAAAAAAAAAAAGAAAAACAGTAATTAAAATAGTAAATAAAGCTGTTAGAGAAAAATTGTTGGCGTATTTGAAAATAATTTACTTGTTAAAATTGTTGGTGTATTTGAAAATAATTTGCTTGTTAATATTGTTGGCTTGTTTGAAAATAATTTACTTGTCAAATTGTTGGGGTATTTGAAAATAATTTACTTCTCAAATTGAAGCAAAAAGTAAAATTTTCTGTAAAGCATTGTTATTGTTATTAATTTGTAATTTATAAACCTTTTACATTCATTAATTCATTAAACAAAGTTTGTATTGAAGAATATCTATCAAAGTGTGAAGCTCTGACTCTGAAAATATGTTACTAGCTCTAAACCAGCTACAACTACTATACAATAATATTAGCTATAAACCAAATTACAAACCTAATAAGTATGTAATAGGTTACAGGTTTTATAGGTAACCTAAAATTTATTACAAGCTATAGTCCACTTTGAGTTAACTATTATAAAAAAATTAGAAGAAATATTATTCCAGTTTGAGTTAATTATAATAAATTCAGTTGTTATATAGCAATAGGTTGTATCTCACGAAAACATAAATTTACAGGAGAGAAAAAATAAAGTTTGTCAAATTTCGCTAAAATTTCTATTCTGCAAACTTCGCTTTTGCTCTCCTGTAAAATTAAGTTTCCGTGAAATACAACTTATTGCCATATAACTACCGAATTCTTAAAAATTAACATGAAAAGACTAAAGTTGTCTTAAAATTTGACTAAAATTGTTTTTAATTGACCAATATTCATGTTTATCGGTCTAATTCAGAGACGTTTTTAACTTTTTGGCGCCGTTCCTATAAGCGCCCTATTGTAAGAATAACTGTCAACTTTGATATTTTTTTTTTTTTCTTTTTTTACATTTTAAGTTTACATTTGTCGTAATACAATACTTTAACAAATACAAACAAGGTTTCTGAAAGAAGATCGTACTGATCTTATCATCAGAACTTTTTACAAGCATTTAGCATAATTATTTACAATGTATATAATC